GCCCTGGAGTAGGCGCCGGCGGGAGCAGCAGGGACCCCGTAGGGATGAGCCCGCGTCTGCGACGGGGCCACGGACGAAATCAGGGTGGGCTGCACCAGCCACTGCAGATCGGGGCTCGTGGAGATGGCAGTCACAGTGGGGACGAAGTTGGCGCTGGAGGCGGCGAGATCCGTGCAGAAGTCCTAGACAGGCGAGGAAAGAAACGAGGATGAGCCAGAGCCAAAGGGATGCGGCGGGGCCGAGCCCGCACCCCCCCAGCCCCGGCCCCCAGAGGCTCCCGAGCGGCCCCCGGGGCCAGGCTGGCTCGGGCGCTGCGCTGCCATCAGCAGACTCCACATGAAAAGGGGGTTGTTATAAATATCTCTGACGTCTGCACTGACGCAGGCGCCGCTCCGGAGTCTCCTCAATGAACTCGCGTTTTATCAATGAAACCGCTTTACACACCCGCCGCAGAGCGCACAGTGCAGCCCGGCCCGCGGTCCCACCCCCCACCGACCTTCCCCGGGGCCGGGCAGCATCCCTATGCGGGGCTGCAGCGCTGTCCTCCCCAGTGCACCGGGCGGAGCGGGGCACCCCGGGCAGCTCACACCCGTCCAGCCGGAGGTCCCCGCGCCGGCACCTTCCCCTCACCCACCCCTCCCTCGCACCGCTGCCCCGGGGCTCACCGGGGGGTTGGCGGGCGATCCCATGCTGGAGAAGGAGTCCGCCGGCGAAGGGTAGTAGGAGAGGCTGTCCCCGGCCGGGGAAGCGCTGCTGCAGCGCGAGGAAGCCGCGTCATAGTCGGCGAAGCCCTGATACATCATGTCGGCGAGGCTACGATTGTACAGAGCCCCCAAGTGCGTTGCGCCGACTGTGTCCGCGCTCGGCGTCCCTCAGGCTGCGGGTCTCTGCCGGCTGCGGGTCTGCGCTCCGTCTCCCGCCTCTCGCTCACTCTGCAGCGCTCAGCTGTGGAGTAAGGCTTAGCGCCTCCGCCCTTTTATAGTCAAGGCTGGTCAATGGTCTTACATCATGGGCGGAGCCAATGCGCTGGGCGGGGGGAGCCGAGGACTAGCTGCCCTTGCGGCCTCCCTAGAGCCCCCGCGGGGCTTTCCCCCTTCTTGTGCACCCTCGAGTCGTCCGCCGGGCTGTGTCACGGGGGTTTCCCCTGGGGTCGCTGGGCGTCTCGGCTCCTCAGGGGCGGACAAAGCTGCGGATCCCACCCCTTCCGCTTTGGTACGGCCGGCTCGGGAACCCACTGACGCAGATATCCTTATATGGGATACATCCTGTGCAAGGGGGTGTGACTGACGGGAACAGCTCCAGGCTGCAGCCAAGTACTGCTGGTTTGTGAGAGGCGGGGGTGGGGGGAGACAGGGAGGAGGGGAAGGGCAGCAGCAACAGCAGTGGCTGTGTTTGCATTTTGATCAGCGCGGTGCATGGCAACGCCAGGTCCCCTGCTGGGGGGAGACCCGAGAGGGAGCTGCACCGCTGCAGTCAGACACCCCCACCCCCACCCAAGCCTCCCCAGAAGAATCCTGCTGCTTATAGAGACACCTGCAGCTCTCACTCACCTTTCACCGCCAGGGAGAACTTCCTCTGCCCAGCTCCTCCCATCAGCTTCAACTACTTCTTCACAGTTATTGCCACTATTTATTGGTGGTTTTGAATCAAAACCAGCTTGTCACTTTCCCACACGTTTGAAGATAGCTCTCTGCCCAAAGACAAAATGCAGATGAAGGCTGGGAAAGGGGAATGCAGCATGAAATGGGGTGACTTTTTTGACTCCTGTCAAAAAAATGGCATTTTTTTCATGTTATAGTAGCTTTCTTGCTGTCTGTGACAGTAGGTAGAGAAAAATAATCACCCTTATAGGGTCGTAGGGTCATACAGAAGTAGGGCTGGAAGGGGCCTCCAGAGTAGTCCAACCTCCTGCCTGACTGAGGCAAGATCATCCCTATCCAAACCATCCCATGCAACCATAATCTAAACTCTACATGAGGCTACCCTCAACCCTGACACAACCAGACCTAACACCCCTTATGATTACTTAGTGGTTGTTGTGTTCTGTTGGGGGAGACTTTTATAGCAGAGAGCTGAAACAGTTGCTGATGATTCAGAACAGGCTACTAGTTGTGTGTGTGTGTTAGTTTTATGACAGTCTGACTTTTGCCCTGATTTCCCTCCCCCCTGTATATTTAAGCAGGCAATGTTTTCTACTAAACACTTTTAAGAAATGGTACAGTATATCTTACATTTCATTTTGGAGCATGTTTGGGATTTAAAGCAGGCATTATAATGAGGCATTATCATGAGGCCATTAATGCTGTGCAGATTTATCGTAAATTAATTAAATTTCCTACATCCATGTAACTGTGTTGTGTTGTTTGGTTCTGCCTTCATAGAAAGCCTGGAAGATGTCTTCTGCCTACGTCTTCAAACACATTTATGACATGTAAAGCATTGGAGAAAACACATGACATTTCTGGTGAGGAGGCTGCACAATTTTGTGTAATGTGAACTTGTGACTGGGGAAACTTCATTTAATAACCTGCTCATATGTTATTTTCTTTCAGCTTTATACCCATTGTAACTGTTGGGGGTCCTAAATGCCCCTCACTCCTTTTTGCTGTGTGTTACTACATTCCTCCTCCAAGATACTCTGATCCTAGTTTAGTCTGAATCCTAATGATTAGCACGGGAGAGAAGCAGATTGTGAGGGGCAGTATCAAGGGAGTTGAGATGGAGAGGCCAGTGATCTTCACACCCCATGGTAACAAGGTGATCCTAGGAAAAAACAATGGTCACAGGCTGTGACTCAGTTTCCCTGATCCCTACTGAATTGGCCAAGGGCTCCTTATCTCAGAGGAATGGGTGGGAACACAGCAATCTGAACCTGAGCTGTATAAAGCTCCCCCACACAAAGGCAGAGGGGCGGAAGTCTGGAACTTGCTTCAAGCCCTGAGGACTCATTCACTCACCACCAGGTAGTGAGTGAGTATGTCTGTATATTCTCTGCTGTATGGAGCTGCTCTGGTTAATACTGGCCGATTAATAACATCCCAGTAATCCCATGTATAGTTAGGAGAAACTTCCTCTGGCTTCTCTTATACTTCTCTGGATAAAATAAAAGCCCTCAGAGAAATCCTGGGTGTAACATTAAGGAGTGGTGTTATCTAGGGATTATTTGTGTTTAGGCCTGATGTTAAGATCTATATAAATCAGTGGAAAAACTATTGAGTATAGCAGAGTTTGGATCAGCCCCATTCTGTGGGAGCAGTTCTCAGTCCACTTACCAAACTATCCCTTCACCTACACCCCTTAGAAGAGCAATGTGTAGTATCCACACAAGCAGCAGCTCCAATCTGTGTGACTGCAGGAGAAGCCAGATCATCTCCCCATTGAGTTCTATGTTTAAACCAATCTTCATTACACCCTAAAACCCAACAACCTAAGCTAAAAAAAAACAATAAAAACCCAGGAAGGTTTGCTGTGAGGGCAGGTGGGGATCACTCACGGAAGGCATGTGCACATTCCTTGTTAATAAATCTGGGTGGCTGGCACAGGCGGTTTGCTCTGCATATCTGGCTGGAATATGGCAGAAAGCACATGTGGACGGAACCTGGAACTTACTCCACTTCCTGCAGGGGGAAGGCAATTACACTCAGGCGTGATTACTTATGTTCTTACTATCTAGGCACAATAATAGCTGAGAGGGAGGACTCCAGTACAGGGCACTGGGGTAGGGGTTGGGGGTGGTGTGCTACAGGCTGGGCTTCTCTGGGGAACTCCCCAGAAAGCTGAATGGGATCCGGGAAGGCGAAGGGACTGTGAGGACATGGCCAAGGAAACCTCTGTCTCCTCCCCTTTGTTTTGATCCTTGTTTGTTGCAGGGCAGGCCCGAGACACCCACCCACAGTGGGGATGTCAGGCAGGCCTGGCTCAGGTCAGGCTCAGCTGGGAGCCAGACCGCAGACTTGCCTGGCTGAGGAGCCAAGAGATTGCTATAGATAGTAACAGGGAAGCTGGTGCAGCGAGTCTGTTTACGGCAACAAACAGCCTGCAGCACAGTCTCCAAGCAGAGCGTCACCATGCCGGGCTGGATGGAGTCCTGCTGGCAGCCCTGCCACTGCCTGAGCTCATGGCTAAATGCAGCGCCTGATGCTGCTACGCGGTCACCTCCATTCTTAGAGATCTGGGCCACAGGGGTGGGGGAGCTGGGCCAGCTGCTATTCCTGAGCTGCCCGGCAGAGCAGAGGGGACAGCCAGCCACTGAGGAGAGATCCTTTCCCAAGGTGGCCGGGAGGCTTCCCTGAGCCAGGGCTGAGCTGCCTGGGTCCCACAGGAGCTGGGCACACCAGCCTTAGGGCTGTGAGAGCCTTGCAGTACCCTGCTTACCTGCCTTGGCAGTATCCGCAGCTGGTTGGACTTTTTGAAGCCAGAGGTCACAGCTGGAGAAGCCCAGAGAGTCCCATCTAGTCCAACCCTGAGGCCCAAGACAGACCAGACCCGAGCAGAGCAGAGCAGAGCAGGTCTCCATTTCCATGTGTGAACCCCAGCAAAAAAAGATAGACCAAAGAAAACTCCAACCTAGAAACTACACCTTGATGGCACCAAGCTGAGCAGCCACTGTCTGTATGCCCTGCTACATCCTGCTGGTCTCCCTGCCTGACACCCTGTCCTTCCCAGAGCAAGGAGGATCCTCGGAGAACTCCATTCTTGCCAGGAGTCTCTGGCAGGCATTATGGGAGCTGCCTGCCTTGCGGACCCAGTCAGGCCCAACTCTAAGTGAAGGTCTTCTGTGCTCAGAGGAGTCTTCACTTAGAGGAGTCTGGCACTCAGCACTGAGCTGCCTCTACAAACTGTCCAGGAAGGTTCTAGAAACCATCAAGTCCACGTAGCTGAGTTCACAAAATATTTGTTGACATGTTTGCTTTGGTCGTGCACATGGAAGCCAGTTCTTCCTATCAACATAGGCAGCCACCTGCTCTGTTTGTAGCAAACGGAAAGTGTGCTGATGCTGCATGTATGTAGCATGTGCCGAGAAAGCCAAGGAAACAGAGAAACCGAAAACACATGACGTGGGCTTGTTGTTTCCTTCTAGTGAAGCGTGCACATTCACACCACAATGTGTGTGAGAAAAAGGAGGAAGGTGACGTCTACCACACAAACACTACTATGGGGACAAAACACTGTCAAAGCAAAAACAGCACTGCCCATGGGACTGCCCTCACTGACATACTGCCAGAGCAACCAAGACCTATCCTTCCATTATGCTGTCCTCAGTCAGGACCATGCTCATCGCCACATCATCTGTCTCCCTACAGTAGTTCCAAGAAGCAGCCCAGCTGAGTCTGGGGCTAGATGTACTCGGTGCTGTACATACACACAGTGAAAGGCAGTCCCTGCTCCAAAGAACATGCAAGGTCACACACCAAATCGAGGGCAGAACTGGGAGTACAAGACCTAGCTCCTGGATGCATGGTAGTTCATTGCTACCATGCAGTAGCATTGCCGGGCACTAACCATGCAGTGACAATACTACACAGTAGTAAGAAGCTTACTGCTCAGTAGCTTGTTGCTACTGTGCAGTAATGTCAGGAAAAATGTTTGGCGACGGTACTGCTCAGTAATGCCAGTTACTGCTTGTCATTTAGTACTTGCATAAGTACTAAATAGCAAGTTCAAGTTATAATTTGCATAAGCAAGTACTAAATGACTGCACAGCAACAAGCGCACAGTCTGCCGCTTGTGTAGATGTGGTCCCTGAGTCCCAGTCTGGTTGCTGATCCACTGAAGTACACTGCTTTATTATGTGGCTGGAAATGCAAACATGCCTGTGCTATTCCTGTGGATGGGGCAACACTCACTGCCTGCTGTACACACAGTCAGGCCATCTTCAACTTGGCCAACATTTACTTCTACACTGATACAGAATAAAGTTTGAAGTTCCAGCTTCACCTTGTTGAATTCCATCTCCTCAGACTAAGAAGTATAATTTAGACAAACAGAACTTTTTTTGTTTGATCTGTTCCTTTTTCTTGCTTTTAGTTTGCATCTGACTTTGCTAATGTCTTAAAAGACCACAGCAGAGAAGCAACTAAGGCATGTGGTATAACAAAACCCACACAACGGAAATCAGCTTCTGGGGTTGGAGACAGC